GAAAACAATGAGCCTTTGAGCCTTCTCTGGTCCTGTGGCATGTAAGGTCCGGGAGGAAGGTGAATTGACAGAGTAGGGGCAGTGCTCCAAGGCACTGGACAGAAGTCACCTCACCCCCCATGCTGACCCACAGGAAGTGCTTCTATCCCAAGCTCTTTGTTAGACTTCCTGTGGAACCAGGTGCAGACCCTCTGAGTGGTGCTGGGAGACTGCATGAGCAGCAGTAGCAACAGCATTACCGCTGCTCCCTGAAGGTCAGACACTGGACCATATTTATCCACCTTGTTGTACAGATGAGGAAACTGAGGCTCCAGGGAAGGAAGCAACTTGCTTACTCCTAGCAAACAAGAGTAGAGGGGATTCACATCCAGGCCCTCTGACTCTCCCCAGAGAGTAGGCACTGCAGAGCCCCTTCTCCATCTGACCCTTCTCTGGCCACCATGAGACCAGTGGGTTTCAGTCTCTCTTCCTTAAAGGCTCTGATTTTATGAATGACTTTGGGCAAGTGACTTGCCTTCTATATGCCTCTTTTACTCATCTGTGAAATAGGGGGCACTCTTCTCTTGGGGATGGAGGCAGGTGAAGATGGGAATCACAGGCCAAGTGCTTGGTGCCCCACAGGAGGGATGTGTGCTGTCTGGCCTCCCCCTTGAACCATTTGATAACTCAGAGAGCCCATGAAGCATAGTTCTGCTCATCTTGGAAAGATTAACCCAGGAAATACTCTCTGATCCTCTTGGAGAGGTGGTAGGATCTGGGCTGCAAAGAATGAGCAGATCAGATCTGCACAGAACCGCCAGGGAACTCAGTCTGCAAGGGGAGACTGGCCCACAGACAGGTAAGGACAATGCAAGGAGACACCCAAAAAATGTCTGTAGCCATCAGCTTGGACTGCCCTTACCCAGCCCCTCAGCCTTCGTGGCTTAAACTACAGAGGTTGGCTTTCCTTCAGTTCTGGAGGCTGGACATCCAAGATCAAGATGGCGGCAGAGTTGGCTGGTACTCCTGAAGCCTCCTTGGCATACTCATGGCCATCTCCTCCCTATGTCTTCATGGGGCTTTCCTCTGTACTTGTCTCCTCCAAATGTCCTCTTCTCACAGGGACAACCAGTCGCAATGAACCAAATGGACAGTCATTCCCAGCCTAATGACCCCATCTAATTTTAATCTCCTCTTTAAAGACCACATCTCCAAATATGATCACATCCTCAGGGACTTGAGGCTAGGATTGCAACATATGAATTTTAGAGGACAATTTTCAGCCCATAACCATGAGCATTTAAAATAGCAGACAGCAGCAACTTTTGCACATTGGTGGAGATTAAATCCTGCGGCTACGCAGGAATCAGCCAGTCAAAGTTTGGCCTTTTAACCAGAGAAGGATGAAGGGCAAAGGATGAGAAGTTCTGAAACAAGAAAAGGAGGAATTTCCAGAACTCTCCCGGAGGTCAGGTCTCCCAACTCTAGCTGTGGAGAGATTGTGCTGCGGGATGGTTGACAATTTCCTAAGAGTTGCCATGCCTGATTCTGAATGTCAAGTTGCTCCCCACTGTCTCCAGAATGTCAGCAAAGTCTGTATCCAAATTAACTGCTCTCCAAGGCCACTGAAATAAAGCGGGACTTGGGCATCTCCAGAGCAGAGTTTAGCTGGTCAGTGGGAAGGTGAGGATCACCCAAATCCACAGCACCCAGGAGTGGCTGGGAAACAACAGCCAAGTGTCTTAATCAGATAAGACAGCAATGACTTGAGGATTTGGGGACACTCAGCAGCTCCACCTGTGAAGAAGGCACCTTCCCTGGCCTGGAGGGTGGGTATGGAGGAAGGCTTCCCGGAGAAGGTGAAGACCAAGGTGGGTCTTGAAGAACCAGTCACAGATTGTTGGAGGAGGGCAGTGACATTCCAAGCAAGGGACCTGTGCAGGCAAAAGCCCGGTGTTTCTGCTGACTGTAGGTGACACCTTGCCGAGCAGTTCTTCGAGAGCCAGGCACTGAAATAAGCTCTTCTCATGGGTAATGAAAGCAGGTGGCTGCTGAAGATGGAGGAGCTGTTTGTGGCTGACCTGTGGGGTATAGGATGAAGGGTATAGGAGGGCTTAGGGGGCACCAGCTACACTGGAAGGGCCTGGAACACTCAGCTACAGAATAAGGACTTTATGCCTCTGACCTGGAGCCTGGAGGCTTGGAGCAGGGCAGAGCCAAGTGAAGTGGCTCAGGGGACAGGGGACCTGGTGTGACTGAAGAGTCCCCAGCGCCGAGTGCCAGGGTAGACATCGATCGGGGAACAGGACCATGGTGCTATGAGGCAGCTGAGAGGGCAGGCCCAGGTTGGTACAGGTTGGTGCCCTTGTGGCACCTGGACCCATGTCCCTCCTCTTTCTGGAAGGGCTTCATGGTGACTTTCCAAGAACTGCTGTTTCTCTCTTCCTTGCAACTTCTGCTGGGGCCCAGAGGGGAGGGACTTTTGGACCAGTCATGCCCAGCTTATAACTTATGGTCCAGGGCAGCTGGGAACAAGTACAGGACACACATCAGTCTAGTGCCTCCCTTGTGTCAGACTGGTGCCAAACCCGTCACACACTAGCATATGGTTCTCCAGCCATCTGAGAGGGAGCAGCTTATACTCCCATTTCCGAAGGGGGATGCTGAGTGCCAGGAGGGAGGAGGATGAGCCCAGGATCCCAGAGCTGAGAAATCCTTGAATCTAGGTCTCTTTCTTTTTCTTAACCCAAAAAGTCTACCTCCTAAGAAGGGCCCCTGGGCTCCAGCTGGGCTGCTTCAGTTACCAAGAAGTAAAGAGTAAGCCTCTAACTATCCTCTCTCCTCCTGCCTGGGGATAGAGGGTAGTACCTGGGTCAGAGGGTGCCTGGCCCGGCCACACACCTGGGGATGGTTGGGTAGGAGACCTCCTCCTAGCTCTGGTCTTGGGCAGAGCCTGTGTCTCTGCAGACAGCGAATTGGAGATAGTGCCCTTTGGTGGAGATAGACCCTTATACACCCACAAGCTGCCACCTACTTCCCTGCCTGACCTCCAAAGTCAAGAAGCTGCCTTCCTGGCTCTGGGCTCTCTTCTTGGCTCTTTGCAGTTGCCAGGAGTCTGTCTTCCCCTCTGTCTCCCCTCTGAGTCTACTCCTTCCTTCAATGAAGCAGGGCAATGGGCTGTATTACTCAGCTTTCCTGTCACTGAGACCCAGTATCCAACACTAACAGCTTAAAAGAGGATAGGTATAACTTGGCACACGGTTTCCGGTATTCAGTCCATGGTAGGCCAGCTCTAAGGCAGGAACATCATGGTAGATGGCTTGTTAGTTCTCAGTGGCTGGAAATCAAATCAGGGAACAGTGTCAGAGAGGAAGGTGTGAGGAACCTTTTATGGTACCCAAGGTTGCAGCTCCATGAACCACCTGGACACAACCAGCGGTGTGCTTTGCTAATCTGCTAGGTTAATCCCATGATGTTTGCATATCAAGATTAACAGTCACAGATGCCATGCCCCCTTGAGGGGTGAGTGTGAGAGGGAAACAGGCCACATTTATAGGGAGGGAGGGAACCCTGGGTTCTAGCTGTGGGCACCTTTGTGGGCCACCACGGTTGCTGCTGGGATTGTGTGGTCTCTGTTGTTGTCCCAGAGTGCCCCTTTCTTGCGCGATGGCTCCTTGGCAGTAGAAGACGTTGCGGGCTGGTCCTGTGATGGGCAGGAGGGGTCCTGTCCTGTGCAGAGAACTGGGCTTCACTGCAGCCTGTTGTCCTCAGCTGGTTGGGTTGAGGGATTTCAGACTGGGTGTCACCGGAGCAAGGAGTGTTCTGGAAGTGAGGGGCAGAGGCTGGTAGGGGGCAAGTTCATAAAATGCCACTTTCCCTCCCGCTGCCTTCACTTTACTCAACAACGTGTGTGCTCTGGAAAAGATGGCACTGTGCAGGGCACTCAGGGAAGCAGGGGCCCTTTCCCTATTCAGATGTGTCTTGGCTGATACCAAGAACAGCCCCTGGTTACAGTATCCATGCTGCACATATCGAATCCACACAGTAGGCAGCACAGGCAACACGTATCGAACACACACCAGCACTTACATTCCCCTGCAACTTGGGCACAGCTGCACTACTCCACACACACATTCAGAGCACAACCCACACTCACCCCAGCAGAGCACTGGTGCATTTAGCATTTTCTGACTGAGAAAATGCATTTCAAAATAAGCTCTATGAGTTCAGGGATGCTTAAAATGATTTGGTATTTCATTCATGCCAACAGTATCTTCAGACAATTGAAAACTAGTCACTCTACAATGCATTGAGAGCCAGGAGAGGTGATGCATGCCTGTAACTCCAGAACTCTGGGAGGCTGAGGCAGGAGAATTACAAGTTTGAGCTTAATCTGGGCAATTTAGCAACTTAGAGAAACTCTGCCTCAAAATTTTAAAAAGAGCTGGGGATGTAGCTCAGTATGAAGGCCGTGGGTCCAATTCCCATTTTAGAAAAAAAAAATGCATCCAATATATCCTTTATTCCAGTCCCAGACTGGCCTGGGTCTGATGAATTTAGGCACCCAGTGCGAATGCTGCACAGCTCTGGGCTGTCTGTGGAGACCCCCAGTTTGGGCCACTGTTCAGTTACTCTTTTCTGGTTCAAAGTCTCTCCTGCTCCTGCACAGTCTTTAATCCAGTATGTGGCTCCTCTCCCTCCACATCACACCTGGGTGCGTCTGTGTTCGGGGGAGGGGTGTGCATGGCATCCAGGTGCCTCCGCCTGCCCTGGTCTGTGAGCTCATACGCTGCTGTCCCAAACGATCCTCCTGCAGAGAAACTTCCCCAGCACTCCACCCAGAAAGGGGAGCAGATGGAAAACTGGAGCAAGCCCTCATCTTGGGTCAGGGAAGAAAATATTCTCTTTTTCCCCTTTCACTCTAAAAATATGCTCAAGGCTTTTTTGAGCTTTGTTGCAATAAAAACCAGCTGTGGCTCAGAACACCCCCGCAGCCTTCGCCTAGGGAGAAAGGAAAACAAAAACAGCTGCTGGCGGCTGATCACGCCGTGTCCAGGCGCTGGCCCAGGGTGCAGGCACCCCTGGCCTAGAATTGCTCCCAGTGGGCACCAAACAACCCTGTTTTCTTGTTCTGGTGTGAGTGCTGGGCAGAGTTCATCAGCCCTTCCTCCCTGTAATTCTCTGTGTGTTGGGTGATGAGAGAGACTGGAACTCTGCTCAGGCCACTGTCTCATGTCACGGCAGAGGCAAGTGGGTGCGTGCAGTATCCAGAGACAGCCTGAGTGAGTTGTCTGGTGGCTGAGAAGAGGGAGAGGCCATGTCTGATGCAGCGAGCAGGAAGCCTTCCTGGAGCAGGTGCCATTGGGATGGCCGTCAAGGAAGGAGACAGAGAAGAAGGACCTGAATCCACAAAGGCCTAGATATGGAGAGAGCAAATACAGTGTGGTGAGCAGAATAGAACTGAAGGTTGGGGGACATTGGGAGATCAGCTGGGCTGGTGGACAGGGGCCCCAGACTCTGAGAGACATGTTCACTGGGTGACAGGGAGCCATGGAAAGTGCTTGAGCAGAGGAGTGACTGGTCTAAAGCTAGACAGCTTGGAGGATATCTGGGGAGGGAGATTGGTTGTCCATTGGAGCTCAAGAGAATCCCTTAAAGAGGGAGCCACACCTTCAATGGGGCTTTGGTGGCCTGGCCTGTACTTTCCACAGACACAGATTGACCCTAGGTCCTTGATTTCCCTGGAGGTCCCTGCTGGGGAACTCCTTAGGCCTCCAGGCTGCCACCCTGCTGGAAAGATGAGACAGCTGCACTCCAGAGGGAGGAAGGGATTGTCCACAGTCAGCTGCACGCCAGTGGCTGGCAGGGTGCGGACTACACGCTTCGGAGGAAGAGACCCTGGTGTGGATCTGTGGTTCTTAAGAACCACTGGGGTTGACGTCTGTCCCTAGAGTACAGCCTCCTCCATTGCCGTGCTGCAGGGAGAGGCTTGTGCTGGATCCCAGTGGAGGGGAAGGAGTTTCAAGTGGAGTCCCCTGGGGTGGGGACCTTGTCTCCTTCTCCTTTCATTCAGCAGCAGCAGCAGCAGCAGCAGCAGCCCTGTAGAATGTATCATCTTTTTTTTTGCAGAACAGGCTCAAGAGGAAATGGAGTTCCCCAAGATGTGTAGCTGGTGTGAGCAGAGCAAGAACAGGAGTTCTGTCTGTCTGCCCCGCTGCTCTGCCTCAGGGCCTTCCTTCCCGCACACCTGCCCCTTAATCCAGCCTTGAGCTCTTCTGGGGTGTTGTGCTCACCATGGGGTCTCAGGGGACCAGCGGCAGCACACACTGGGTGCCCAGGAAATGTCTGTTCATGGACTGGATGGATGGCCTGGGGAGGACATGCAGGCTGGGCCAGTGCCCCCATCCTCAGCCTCATGGGCCATGTGTGCTTGTTGCAGGCCAAGTTCCTTCCCAGACCGACCCTTTCACTTCGCCCTCATACCACCTGGTATTTTCTGGAGCCTGGCAGCAGCACAAGCTGCTTGGTGCTTGTGGTAACTGCCATCTTCCCCACCTGCCCCTCAGGTCCCCAGCCATTCCCCTACCATTCCCTGCCTCCTTTCTGCCAGGCTTCTTTCCTGCCCACCTGCACTGGGTCCCCTCTTACTGCTGCAGCCTCTCTGAGCCCCAAAGCAACCAGGGCTCTCCCAAGAAATCATAACAACGCCAGTAACGTCCTCAGTACATTTTACTGTGCGCTAGCTAAGTACTCCCTGAGTACTCTAAGACCTGTGCTAAATCCTCTGCATCCACCATTCCTCTCTCAGCTCACAATAGGCCTGGGAAGCAGTTGGTTCCTCAGCCTCCTGACACGAGGCACATGGCTCAGTGGGAGGACTTAATTCCGTGGGTGTCAGGCTTGTATGCACATTGGAATCACCTGAAGGGAGTCAAAAACTCCCTGTGCCTGTGTCCTGCTACACGGGCTTGTGGTTTAGCTGCTCTGGGTGTGGCTTGGGCTTGGGAATTTTTAAAAGATTCCCAGAAAATTCTACCATGTGCATGTGTTTGGGAACCACCAGTTTTCTAGAGAAATTTTAATTTAGGACCTGAAAAACAACCTCAACCAAACATCTTTATTGAGATTTAATTGACAGACAGGAAATTGCACATACTCAAAATATATAATTTGAAAAGTTTTTAAAAACCATCTGAGCCATTTTAAGTATACAGTTCCATAGAGTTACACTGTTATGCAACCAGTCTCCAGAGCGTTCTCATCTTGCAAAACAGAGACTAAATCCATTAACAGCTCCCATCCCTTCTCCTCTCAGCCCGACACTCACCATCCTACTTCCTGTCTTTGACTTTGGTCATTCTGGGTACTTCATGTAAGTGAAGTAAGCACCGTATATGTCTTTGTGCCGCTTAGCCTGATGCCCTCGATCTTCATCCTTGTAGCATTCGACATGATTATCTTCCCTTTTAAGGATGAATAATAAATTATCCATTCATTTGTCCATGAGCATCTAAAACAAGGCCTCTATGGGTATAGGGGTGTTTGTACCACTTCCAGGCTTTGCTTTCCATTCTTTTGGGGATACACTCAGAAGTGGGACTGGTGGATCACACGGTGGTTCTATTTTTGATTTTTTTTTGAGGAACAACTGCACTGTTTTTCTACAGTAGCTGCACCTTGTGCAGTCCCACTCTGGCACTCAGGGTTCCAGATTCTTCACATCCTCCCCAGTACTTGTTCTTTTTTGGGTTTTGGTAGCCATGCTGATGGACACGGAGAGCCACCTCATTATGGCTTTGACTTGCACTTCTCTAATGATTAGTGATGTTCAGCATCTTTTTGTATACTTGCTGGCCTGTAAATCAACTCTGGAGATGAATTCTCTACCTACCTTCCCAGAGAAGCCAGGGCCTCCCCTCTGCATCCTCCCCTGAAACCCAGCATGCCCCAGAGGGAGCACTGAAGCACCCCCTACCCCAGCCCCTAGGAGGCAGCAGCCTTTCACCCCTTGGGGGTCTTTTCTTCAAATTAAGCCCATTGTATCCAAGGACAGACATTATTTTGCCACAAAGCTCCCCACTCCAGCTAAAGTGAGGCTGGAGCACTGTCCCCATTCCTACTCCAGACAGCTAGAAAGGATCACACACAGGTCCTCATTAGCAAAGCACTTGGCTTTGTTCCTGCCCCAAGTGTGTACAGACTGAGTGCTTCCCTGTAGCTTCAGCAGACCCCTCTTCTTTGCAATTAATCTGAACAGACTAAACCCCTCCTGGGCAGAGGTGGGTGATACACTGCCCACCGACACACAGAGCAGCCTGTTTGAGCTGAATCTCCAGGGCTGCCATCTCCCCACGGGTGCAGCTGCTGTCCCCATCCTGTCCTTGGCACAGTCTGCTGTGTCTGAGCCCCAGTGCCTTTACTCTTGGCCCTCCTTTGGTGGAAAGGCTGAGCCCTGCCCTTGGAGGCTCTGTCTTTGACTCTGCTGCTGTCCTCTGTGTGGAGCTACCCAAAGTATTTCAAGAGCTCAGTGCTTATGGCTGCTCCTCAAGGGATGGGGTGAGTCCTTGAGGTGAGTGTCCTTACACTCTGGGCAGGAATCTGCCTTTTTCTCCCAGCTGTGGCCCCTCTAACCTTCTTAGTTCTTTGTAATATGTTCATTTGAAGAGACTAATTTTGTTGAACTGTGTATTTAAATTATTGCATTAAAGTTTCTTTTACCCACATCTGTTGTACTTATATTTGTACCTTTTCAGCTCTGTGCCTGGAACTTTTTAATAGTAATAAAAGTTACTGCTTCTTGTGCTTTCACCTAAAAAAAAATGAGGGGACATTTTGCTGAGGTGTGCCTGAGGGGTTAAAGGCTCCTAGAGGGGATGGTGCCTCACTAGAGATGAGCAAACGCAGGAAGCTGCCACCCTCTCAGGCCTGAAGGAACAGGAGAGGGGCCTACAATACCAGACGAGCAGGAGCTATGGGACAAGGGCTGCCCGGTAGTCCCCAGGATCTAAACATTTGACAACACTGCCTCTTCCAGCCAAGGGTGATCTCCCACCTTCTTCTTCCATTTAGAACAAAACAGAGATGAATGGGGATGAAGGCAGGGAAGGGGACTATCACCCTGCTAAGACAACTGCTCTTCTGAATTCTGCCCCTGCGTGAAATTCTGCCATTTGTTTTTATCTGCTCCTAGAGCCACCAAATCCTAGCTCTGAAAGAGACCCCACAGGCTCTGGACCAAATCTCTCATTATCTAGAGGAGAAATGGGAGCCCAGGCCTCCTAGTGACCTTCCCAAGATTCCTTCCGGGGTAGCCTGGGCCCCTCTGTTCCCCGGAGCTGGTCTTTATGGTCTTGAACCTGCATGTGGCAAGATGGGCAATGGGCGCCATTCTCCTCTGTGCACTAAAGCAGGCCCCACTTGTGACTGCTGGCCAGCACTCTGCAGGGTCAAGATGCTCTCCCAATCAGGTTGGGGAGGGAAAAGGGCCAGCCCTGTAGGAGGAGCGATGTGGCATCAGTGGTCTCCCTGTACACTTTCCATCTGGTCCCACCTCTGCTCCGCTTTCCCCGCACCTGCAGTGTGGTGGCTCCCCGAGGTTCCACCTGAAGGCTCACACAATGCTGGACTGTCCTAGTCAGAAAGGCGCCCAGCCACATGGCCCAGGTGCAGCCTCTCTGAGAGGTGGGCAGACCGAAGTCCAGAGCGGTTTGGTCACAGGATGAACCTGAGAGTTCATTCGTGGAGGTGGTGGATGCTTTGCAGCTGGTGGCTGGCACGCTCCCAACCCTTCCTTCCCTCCCCTTCCCTGGAGTTCTGCTTGGCAACCACTGCAGGCATTTTTGCAAAGTGATGTCATCTGCAGATAATGGTTTTTCCGTTCCTGGTGGAGCAGGAGTTCCAGATAGTGAGCTTTGGGGGAGGGGTTCAAGAAAGCTGTTTGTCTACAGGGTGGGGGGCAGTCCCCTCTCCTGTGACAGCCACATCTGAGGCATAAAGCAAGGCCATTGTCTTAGGCTTCATGGACTCTAGAGTCCCTAAACTGCCCAGGCCCTAAAGACAAGCCTCTCCTGTCTCCTTGTGGTTAGTGGAGTCCAGACCCAGAGAGAGCGCAGGCTTCCCAAGTTCACACAGCATTTGGAGATAAAATCTGGCTTCACACCCAGATTCCTAACATCTGTGATACAACAGGCCTACAGTTCAGGGTTCTCAGTCAACACGACTGACATTTGCCATTGAGGAGCTCTGTGCAGTATCCCTGGGTGCCAGTGAAGCCTGGCAGCAATCACATTCTACCCCCACCCAATTTTATTTTACTTTATTATTTTATTTTTTGGTACCAGGGATCGAACTCAGGACCTTGCGCTTGGGAGGCAAGCACAGCACCACTGAGCTAAATCCCTGTCCCCCCACCCTCAATTTTAAAATCAGAGGGGAGGAGGAGAATCTGGGGGAAGTTCCTTTTGTCTGCAGAAAGACAGTCACCCTCTACCTCCTGAGTCTTTGCCTACTGCTATGGATAGAGGAGAGTTCTTGAGTCTGAAGCCCAAAGAGCACTTTGTCTGTGGTCCTGCCTGCCTTTGTGTTTAGACACCTTCAGGATGTTAAGGCAGCCCTGGAGGGGCTTGGGGCTGGAAAGGGTCCCAGCCCTCCTGCTGGCTAAGAACACTGCTTCCTCTGACCACTTTGCTTGGAGTAAAACTGCTGATTTATTTTCTTGGGGGAATAAAAATAAATGCTGGGTTTTGTAATCCCATCCCCAATCCCATCTGGAAAACTGGGCTCATGGAGCTTGGCTGCCTGAGCACTGAGGGCTGCGTCTGGCGGAATCTGGAGTCACAATGATCTCTCCAACATCAGCATAGGCACGGCTGACATTTCCTTTCCTGTTACACGGGTCCTTGGAATGTTCACCCCAGGAGGCTGTTGGGGGAAGGCTCGATGTGGTGGAAAGAAGCCTGCTTTTTCCAGGGCTTCAAACTGTCGGAGTGACTGAGCCATTGCTCTGTTCCTCTCCAGACCTCGATTTCCCCATCTGTGAAATGGGGGGAGCGGTGATTCTCAGTGGGGGCCCATGGACCCCAGAACTACTTAAGAATGCATTTAAAGTACACTCCTGGCAGGTGTGGTGGCTCAGGCATACGTATAATACCAGCATTCAGGAGGCTGAGGTAGGAGAATCACTGTGAGTTTGAGCCAGCCTGAGCTATTTCATGAAACTCTGTCTCAAAAAAATAAAATAAAATAAAAAATAAATAAAACACTAAAATACACTCCTGTTTCCTCTCCCAGGCCTCTGGAAGTTTTTATGAGCCTCAAGTGATTTTGATGTGTATGACTTTTGGGGCCCACAGTCCTGAGGGCCCTGAATCCCGCCCCCCCCCTCCAGGTATCAGGTTTGAATACCACACAGTCCAGCAGAATCTCCTTCCCTGCCCTTCCTGGAACTGAGTGTGAGGGTCTTGCCTGAGGGGGTAGAATTGTCTCCTCTTGGCAGGGTCCCTGAGGCCCTCAGTCCAACTGAAGTCACTGTTAAAGCACTTCATTCTTCCAACAGGGACATTCTAGCTGCTAGTTACAGAGTTTGGTTTCAAAATTGTGCCATTTATTATTTTTGTTGGAATGCCTTGTAAACCCTCGCATAGTCATACATCATTCATAGTGCATGAGTCCCCAAGAACATGTTTTCCAGATGAGGCCTAGTCCTGCTGTTCAAAACTTAAAACCTTCCTTTAAAAAAGAAAACAGAAAAAAAAAAAGAAAAAAAAGAAAACGGAAATCTTTCCCCATGTGTTACCATGGATACTATCTCAAGTGACATTCAGGGAGCACGATTTCACTCCTTCCTCATGTCCCAGGGTTGTTGTCGTGTCTGCCAACTATTGTACACCCTGAAGAGTCAGGGGCTCCAAACTGTCACGGGCTGGAGTGGTGAATGTTGTCCAAGCTGCTAAATCCTTGTGTCTACTTTTGAAGTTTTGTTTTGCTTTTATTTTTGTATTTTTAAAGATGCCTTACTCACAGCTCTCTGCAGTTAGCTGCCATTACCTCATCATGACTCCTTCTGGTGGAAACAGTAGCCCCCAAATGTCAGAATTGTGGGTACTGTGAGAGTTAATAAATGATGAGGAAGAAGATTCTCTGATGAGTCAAGGCCATCAACTTCTGATGTTTATTTTTCCAGTCAGGTGTAAGGGGGAATGTTTTCTTTTTAATACCTCATCGCCAGTTGCTTCTGGAAAGCTTTCTGGATAAATGAAGAATAAATGTAGATACAGGTTTCCATGTAACTCATTGACAGTCTAGGTGGACTTGTTTTGTTTCTGAAGTAGAGATGCCTTCCTTCCTTCCTCATCCACACCCTACTTTTGGAGAAGCTGTTCCACCCCTAGCCGATGACACGTGATCCAGCCCACGGGCCACCTTATACTTAGGGCCACCTAAGTACTTTCTGGCCAGGAAATTTGCAACCAGGATTCAGAACTGAGGAAAGTCACTTATAGACCAGGTGACTCAAGAGACTGAGGACACCATAGGAGCTGCCCCAGATGAGCCCAGCAGCCAGGGCATGGGGGGTCCCTAAGGGGTGGTGGGGGACATGAGGATCCCAAGCTGCTGAAGGGCTCCTGCTCTAACCAAGTCACAGAAAATCAGGGCAGGAAGAGCACGAAAAAGCCCCATCCCCTCTCTACATTTGGGAGACCAAGGCTCTAGGTGGGGTTGGGGCAGCGACTGCCCAAGTTGCTTAGAGGAGCACGGCCATGACGGCCCTGAGCTTGGCCTGGCCTGTTCTGGCTTCCTGTCTCCTGGCTCAGAGGATGTGCAGGTATTATCTTCTCTCTACCAGATTCTCTTCTTCCTAGAATCTGAACACTGGGCAGATGCAGGCAGGCATCATTTGCTCCAGCTCTCTCCCTAACAGCTGGTCCCAGCCCCTGCAGTTCTACTATCGGAGTAACCCCGGGCAGGCGCATGGCATGCATATTGCTCATGGCTGGGGGAGGGTTAATAAATGGTTCAAGGAGCCCCAGATAAGAAAACCCACATTTATTGAAACTCCAGGAAATTTAAACTCACAACACAGCCTTGTGAAGATATCATGTCCTTTTTACAGAGAAGCAAACAGGCTCAGAGAAGTAAGGTGACTTGCCCCAAATCGCATAGCAAGTCAGGAGCACGGCTCAGATCTGCTTCCAGAGCCCAGGCTCTTTGCTCTGAAGCAAGCTGAAGAAGGAGCCAGGGACAGGTAGAGTTCTGAAGCCAGGGATGGATGGGCAGAGGAGGTGGGCAGGTAATGAGATGAACCTGTTCTACGGAATCTTCCAGTGGGAAGAATTCTGGGTTGGTTATTAGGATCAAATGGCTGTATAATCTTGAGCTCTGTCTGGACCTTTTCTCACCTCCAAAAAGGGTTGGACTAATATCCTTTGCAATCCAAGAAACTTCTGTGGGCTGAGAGTGGCCCAGGTCTGGGACCTGAGGAAGCAGATGACTGTCCACTCACCAGATTCGAAGCGACTAGAAAATCACATCATGGAGCTCCCACTTGACTGCTTGGTGTCCAGTGCTCCTGCTCCCCCTGAGTAGGTTAAATGAACTGCTGCTCGTCTGTGAAGTGGGGATGACAATAGTATCTACTTCATAGTAAGGATTAAGTAAGTCGAAACCTGTGAAGTTGGTGGACAGTGCCTGGGGCTAGGCAGTGATCACTGCATAACGGCTATAT